GTTAATTGAGAACTACAAACCTTTGACTGCAGCAGCTGAGGGTACATGTAGTTCATTCATTCACAGGATACTGGGGAGCTCCACACAGCCAACGTATTTAAAAAAAAAAAAATGACAGCAGGTGCAGGGAGAAGATCCCCTGTGCACTGTCACAGAGTGGGGAGAACTGGCAGCAGGAGGTGGGCGTATAGGAGCAGGTTACATCCTAAATATTGATGTAAAATGCTCCTAAAGGGGAACTTGGCCTTTACGTACTTGTCTTCTTTACGTAGAGTGGTCCAACAGCGGAGGGGGCGCACTGTTGATCATGCTATGTCAGCAGCCAGACCACCTAGAAAAATGTGACAAAGTGTTCTTTTAGTTTTTAATTTTAAAGTGCTAGGGAAACTGGAGGAGATTAAATCTTAATACTATATGAGGGGATGATTACCTCATAGGTGGGGATTGAATTTACACTTATGGGGGATTGTATTATATAAAAACGAAAACAAAAAACAACAAAAAACAACCTAGCAGAACTGAATCTTTCTATCATTTTACAGCACATGTGACACTAGACCAGCCATTTGAGGACTTGAATGTTCGCTTGAGAGCTGACATACTATATAGTATATTTATGTATACTGCAAAGTGCACAAATTTGTTTTATTTTTGCACTTTTTAAACATAAACTCAATTATATATTTAACTGACCAAAATAAAGCAAAATAAAAGTTAATTGTTTACATACACTTTATTATGTCAGGAAAGTGACATGACTACAGAAGACACATAAGAATGTACTTAGTGCCTTTTAGCAGTTCTGCATAATAGAACCAGGACTGTTATATCGCAATAATAATTTCATATTCTCTTCCCCAGCAGCAGAGAAGGCCACCTGAATTTTCTTAGACATGGATTTTGGTTTGTAAACACACTTTTGATGGATAGCTTACTCTTTAAATGTGGAGAACAGATAAATAAAGGTATGTTAAATAGAAAAAACAAAACATTAATAAACTGAACCATTACATGTGATAACCACTTACAATTATTGCACCACATCACTCTGACAGAAGAGATCAGTGTGCAAGCATTACTGTGCTGGCGGATGATCTAGTCTGTTGATCTGAGAAGTGAATAGAGGCCTTATAGTATATCATTTGTATATTTCTATACATTTACAAGTTTGGGCAGGGTCACATTTCGACAAATAGATTATGCAGTAGTATTTCTGCTCTCATCTCTGCTGCGCTGCTAGGTTTTATAATTTTTTTATCCTGCATTTATGAACATTGTGTAGTGCCATTTCTCTTGCTTTTTATGCTGGCTGTAATTCTCTGTATGGATACTATATGACATAATTTCTTTGTTCACCATGCTAAGTTCACCTTCATTTTGTAATGGCACTTTCACATTTATATATGCCTTTGCTTTTCCATATTTTCATTGTATGTTACAGTGTGATCTTTACATAACGCAGTGTTTAACCTCCATGCTTAGCAACTCTTGAACAAGATACCGGTCACACATGGTTTACAAGGAGTTGGCTGACTCGGACTTGCACTATAAGAAGGAACAATAAAGCCCAGCCACTGTATAGCAGTGCAAAGTGGGAAGGAGTGTCATTATCCTAGATGTAGATTCTGCTCCTTAATGCAGCTGGAGTTCCATTTACCCCCTCATGGACGTTTTCGCTTAGCTGCAAACTACTCCCAGGTCACTCAAAAGGTACTCATAAAAGGAGGGTTGGCGTCAAGTAACAAAGAACTGGAATGTGCAAGAGGCACGGGACACTATGCAGCTGGAAGCAGGGTAAATCTAGTGGTAATGAGTGCAGAGATGGCCCAGCTGATGATCAGTCTGTAGTTACAAGAGACTGTGGGTGCTCGGGTGACACAGAGCAGACCCAAACTCTGAATGCAGAGCCTAGGGCAGCGGATATGCAAAAGTAGCTGTGTTTGAACCATAGTGGGGTTGATTTACTAAAAATGCACAGTGCAAAATCTGGTGCAGCTTGGCATAGAAACCAATCAACTTCCTGGCTTTTTTGTCAAAGCTTAATTGAACAAGCTGAAGTTAGAAGCTTCACCAGATTTTGAACTCTCCAGATTTAGTAAAGCAACCCCAGTGTGTAGTTCAGGATAATAATGCAGACCATTCAAGCTTTAACAGAAATCACATTCATTTGAAGTGTCTTCAACAGTCCAGGTACAACCTGGAAGTGGCCATGGGATACTTAGGAGGGACTGGAACACACTAGGTAACAAACTATGACATCAAGTATGTAGTGAGCCAAAGTGGCTGCCCTTTTGTACTTATAATTAAAAACTGTACAAACATTTTTCAAACTATTGGTATATACACACACACTACTGTATATTTAAACAAATTGTAAAATGATACATTCCCTTTAACTCAGACCATGAAAAACACTTTAAACTGGTTAACACTGGTACAAACATATTAAATAGCATATAACGTGGTGCAGTAAATTAATGAAATTAGTCTTGTTTCCATGCTATCTCCAGAGCACCACACAATGATACTTTATGCCTCATTCACACATTCTAAAGGTCCAAACAGCAGATTCTTGTGGCTAGAATCACAGATGGTTGCGTGCATGTGTGGCCAGGAAGACTGTAAAAAACAAATGACATGCTGACAGGCACTGCAGCTGTCTGCACATCCAGTGGTTACCCAAAGTGGAGGACCAGTCCCTGGCAGGAGACCCCAGAAGAGGAGGTTCAGGGATACTCTGTGCAATACCATTGCACAAAGCTGGTGAGTAGAACATTAAAAAAAAAAAAAAAATGCTTTACAAACGCTTTAAGATCCCATTAAACGTATTCTTTTAAATCACTAAATAACCAAAGTTCTAGCAGTATTAAATTAAAAACATTTAATAAGTTGCAGTTTACCAATCCATACACATGGTGACTGCATTGGTTTCCGGTTTGTTTTTTCCCTTTATTTTCACCTGGTGATTTGACCAGCAACACACTTTTTGTCCTAGGCCTCATTCATTCATTCATATGTGCAGAAAAACTGACATGCAGATTTCACTTACAGAGACATCAGTTTTCATGCGCGCTTCAAACTGTTTTATATAGTTGCAGATTCAAGCGCAGAAAAAAATCTGCACATGATACTAGTGTTGTGGTGTGGTGTGAACAGGACACATAGAGAAAAACTGATTGTGTTGTGTCCTTGAAAAACATGTGGGGAAAAATGACGTCTCTGCACCATGGTGTGACGACCCCCAAGGGTGTCTCCACTCTGGATGTAGGAGTAATGGAAGCAGCCTAGGACAGCAGCATTGTCAATTTGGGGAGAGGGTAGTGTTAGATGAACTAGAAGATGTAGATGGACCTGACTAACAAAGTGAAGCTGAGCTCCAGCTAATATTTTAAATGCAGTTGTAGAAACAGGTTTTTGTTTCTTTTGTGATAAATGTTTTACATGAATGAATAAAAGCTGGACATTGTAAACATCCTGTCAGTGTTAAATGCTCTGTCTCCACCTGCTAACCACCATTTTTGCTGGTCTATTAAAGGAAGTTGAAAGAACAGACCCACTGGTCAAATAATCAGGTGAAAATAATGGATAAAAGTCTATCTAAAAGAAAAAAAAAAATTAATGCAGCCACCATGTCTCAGAACTGGTAAGCTGCAATTTGAACAGGTTTTTGTTTTGTTTTTTAAATAAGCCTTTAAGGGCTTTGCTGAATCTCTATGCTCCCTCTTACCCATTATGATCAACAATCAAAGCAATACTTTTCCTATTTTCCCCCAACATTTTTGGAACTTACTACCTAGATACATTCAAAAATCATCGGCCCTTGATGTATTGAAAATATACACAAATTGCAGACAATAACTTTTATCCTCTAACCAGAAGTTTACATTTAATACGAACTGTTCTTTGCGTCCTAAGATAGCCGAAAAAGTGTACCATCTAAACTCCTAACTTCTGCATTAATCTATGGTTAACATGGCAAAGGACTCCACTGACCTCTAGAAGAAAGCAGCAGTATAAGTGTTTACTATTGTTGTTGTGCACACTGGCTGTTCCTCGGGCACTCAAATAGAGGTGCATCAAGTGTTTTATCACCGCTTACCGTAGATCAGCTGGCATGGCAATAGAGACCCCAGCTGTAAACTTAGAAGTCGTCCAGTGGCAATTCAGGAAATTGTTCAAAGCAGTCTAAGCATACGATGCAGTAATATTTTGCTGCTTGGGAAGCATGGTATTTACATCCTGCCATACTACCATTTCTTTCAACAGTTGCAAGAAATGCAAGGACAGGCATAATGTCTAGGCAAACGGTCAGCTATTCCAAACTTTGAGAAATACTGACAGCAGAATTGTGGAATTAAACAATTAATTAACATCCTCTGTTGAATACAAATCCAACAGAATTGACTATCATATTTTCACACCGTGGCAGTTTTCCTATTGGAAACAATATAGTAAAGATAAGAACTACAGCTTTACAGGATGGCAGAGCAACATATGCTATACCACCTCCTAACATCCTGCATCCGACATACAGTCCCAGCTCCATTCTGGGACATGAGAAAATGATATGGGAAAACATAGTCAATAGGGTCCTCTCTCCTGACTATAGGGGTGTCTGTCTTAGCCCACAATGACTCCAAATCAGCCCTATGTCTAGACCTACTGTGATGTTTGTATGCACATAGGTAACCACAGGACTTTAAGGGTCTGTTTATCAGTAGCAGAATTTATATAAAAGGGAATGATCCAAAAGCCTTATGACTGTATACAGTAAGATCGTCAAGAAGATCAGCCACCTCCCACTGGCTCTATTCTTAAGACGGTACATATTTAATACATTTCACTACTTTACAATATGTACATTATTGCTGTTCTAAACAAATAAATGCTTTGTAAAATCTGTGAAACACACTTTAACGTATGTTTTGCCACACCAAGCATCACTCTTTGAGAACCAGTGTGTCCGGAATTTAGTTATCGCCATCACTCTACTGCTGAATTTAGTTATTGTCATTCCTCCACTGCTGAATCCATTGTGTGATCTGGTCCAGGTTTCTCTCCAGGTCTTCTGGTGTGTTACTGGGCAGCTGATGAACAATTTCTGATTGGTATGACTCTGCAGCCTCTTCATAGATAGTCTGGAAGATCTCACACTGGATGTTGTCTTGAAGTTTTTTCTCCTTGTATCCCCTGAAACAAAGATATTAAGCCAGTTTACTAGAAATGTATGATTACAAGAAACTCATGTACACCAGTGGCACATCTACCTTTGTGTTCATCCGTTAGATTAGTTTTGAATCTGTTGTATTTCCAAAGTAAGGAAATAAGCTTATATTTCCAAAAAAAATATGGTGCAAGAAAAAGAAAAACTTAGGAAAGATTTATAGGGACATGCAGACATCTGCAATATGCTGTCTAATGTTCAATGAGACTCTGCCATGGTTCCTCTCCACAGCAGCAACTGTCACATCTAAATCCAGTGCTGCTGTGCAGGGCTCAACCTGCACAGTCACATCAAATATTCACAGGGAGCTGTGAATGAATAAATTAACTCGTAGTCTATTGACACTTGTTCTAGCTCAGTACTAAAAGCCCATGCATAGGTACCAGTAGGGAGCTGGTTGCAGTAGCCTGGCTTTAACCCACGATCCACTGTTCACAAGTGCAAGGCTTTCCAATAAAAAGCTTTTTTTTTTTTTTTTGCAAAAACCTGTGCATGTAACAATTTTGTTCATAAAGCTGAGTTTAGCCATTACATTTTGTAGTGTAACATGTCCCTAAAAAGGTGAGCGTAGCACTGAGCCTTTAAACTTCAAGAGTAAAGATATAATGAACACTACATCTGTCGTAACCATCAGTCAAAAAAAAAAAAAAAAAAAAAAAAAAAAAAGCACATTTATGGCTTCATCGCTCACATCTCTACACCAAACGCGGGAAATGTTAAATGTCTGCTATGAACCTGTTCATTTGGCAATAGCTTTATCATTACTTTGTCATCATTATAGACAAAAGGAAGACATGTTATTCTACAATTTGTCATGTTTAAAAAAAAAAAAAAAAAAGGAAATAAACACTGAAATTATGCTTGTGGTACAAAGCATTGCAAAGTTATTTAAAAATGAACTAAAAGGGTTTTAAAGGCCTCATGCACACTGAAATGTTTTTCAGTTGGCAGCAGAAAAACGCCAATTGCGGCAAAAATGTGTGTAAATGTGTCACTGCGTTTAACACTTAGATGTTTATTCATTTCAACGGCCATAGTACTAGACGCGTTTTTTTTTGCAGCATTTTGCGTTTTTGGGCCAAAACGTTCCTCTCCTTAACGAGATTCTTCTGCGTTCAGGAGAGGGATGGTTCACTGGTCCTAAACACTGATGCTGCTAAACTCTGTATGTGTGCATGGACACAGACTTTTATTGAGTTGAGTTCAGGGGCTGTGGCAAAAAATGCCAAAAGCTCTTGAACTCATCATGAGCAGCAGTGTGCATGAGGCCTTATTCTCAATTTTGTGCTCTTTTTATTGTGACACTAAAAAAAAAAAAATTAAAAAAACACACACAAAAAAAAAAAAGTTTAAAATATTATTGATCAATTAAAAAATGTTTTGATAGTTTTTAGGTTGCTTTAATTTACATTATCTGAATATTGAAGATCATCCCTGCAGATGAAAGATGCAAAGTAGATACAAAAGTAACAATTTCCACTATGAACAACTGAATCAGCCAGCCTTTTGTTGCTGGCAGCAGCCTTTTTTTTTTTTCTTAAGAGTCAGAAATTGCTGGCAAGTGGGGGCGGCAGTAGGACAAAAGGATTTGCCATGCTACAAATGTCCCGATGATGTTTTTTTGTGGGCGTGTGTAGCAGTGTCTTCATCTAGTTAATGAGCAGTTTCGGGATTTTTACCTGCTTTCAAGCCTTTCATACAACAAGGAATTGTCTGTTCTCAGCACAAACACGATCTGGAACCATCTTTCTGGGAAAAAGTCACAACCGTGATAGTCTACAATGACTCCACCATCACTCATTTTATCCTCCAGCTCATCAATCACCTGGAAAGAAACAAAAGATGAAAAAGATATACAAAGCGGGGAAAATACAAAATAGTCCAAGCAGGCGACAAAAAAACAAAAACATTTCTCGTTCATAAAAGGTAGATTACTCAGAAGAGAAATGTGTAGGCTGCCATTACTGTAAAAGCATTACACATCCACACACAGGTCTTTCCCATAAAATAAGTGACCGTTTTACTTTTACTTTATTGCTTCTATCTCACATAGTGATGTTTCAGCCATGTCTAGTTCTTTATCAAGTTAGGAGCAACAAGGGCTAGACATGGCTCAAAATCTTGCTATTTGAGTCCTGGACTATAGGATTTTGTACTGCCTCTTTTATGTGATAGAGTGAAAGAGCCAATACTGAAAGAGTAACTATACTCACTTGGCTCCAGCAATGCAGCGTCCAGGAGCTCCCCCACCCTGCTATTGGCATCTTCGGGCAGCTGGCTTCCGGGTCCCGATCACCATCATCCAGCAACTGCTGGATGACCAAGCGGGAGAGCACAGGGAAGGAGACAGTCAGTAAAACTACAGCTGGTCACCATCACAAACTAAGTGCACATCATGCCACAATATGATAAATACACAATACAAATTTAAAATTTTTTTGTTTCCCAAATGGTTACATGTATTTTTTTTTTATATAGGTCAACATTGATTGTCTGGCACACTGTGGATGGCTTGCTGGCTAGACAGCCTGTCAGAGGAGGAAATGGCGTCATGTGTATTTCTCATATATTGTGACATTGTGTGCACTTAAGTTTGTGAGGGTGTCCTGCTGTAGTTTGCCGTCTGTCTCCTTCCCTGTAATGTCCTGTGCAGTCATCCAACAGTTGCTGCTGCATCTGTGTTGGCAGGTGACAGGTTTGAGGACATGTGTTTTGCTTGTTCTGTTTGTAATTTAGAGATTTCTTTGCTTTTTGATTGGTGTGTTATATGACATGTTAGTATGAGAAGGAAGAGTGTAGGTTCTCATTAGTGCAGTGGGAGTGCATTTCTAATTGATAGATTACTTAATTTTTCAATTGCTGAACCATGCTTGTGTTACACACATACACATACATATATATATATATATTTTATGTGATATTTGATGTATGTGTATATGAGGTTTGAGTAATCGCTGAATTTAGTGTGAGACGCGTCGCCTTTTTGATGTTTCTGTCATACTTGTGATGTTATTTTAATGCTTCAATAAAGATACCAAGGAATGTAGCAATATTCCGGATTTGTACATGTTACTAAATCTCGCAAACGAGCTGTGCAGCACCCTGGGTTCCAGTTCACATGTGAGAGTTGGTCACTCACGTGGAGTGGTATCATTTTGGCTTAAGCACAAAAAGTCAATCAGCTGTGCTGCTGTGCACATGTTCTAACAATAGACATGCTGATAGGAGGAGAGAGCACAGTGACCAAGAGGTGAGCTTACCAGTCTACTGATTCTCCTTTCGCCATCCATTTAGCTTGGGGGAGAGACAAGACTTTACTTATGGCTGAAAGTTTTCTCTTGCAGTGGGGCTATGCCAGCAGTGCAAGGGTTAATTGCTTGTTTTAGTCTAGGTGAGAGATGAAGGGAGATATCCTGCTAGGTCCCTCCAGCTCCTACGCCCCTTTTCCACTGTAAAAAACAAGCACTTAACCCTTGTAGTGCAGCATAGCCCCACTGCAAGGGAAAAAAATTTTCTTTGCCTGGAGTTAGACTTTAACTTTGTTAGAAAAAAACTCACATCTCCTACCATGCAATCTCTAAAATGGAAGGACAGAAATACAAATCCTTTGGATGGTAATACAGAAAAAGATGAACACAACTGCTAAATTACTCATCTAAAAATCTGCAGTGTGTGTGTTCTCTTCCCATCACATAAAATTTGCATAGAAATTCAGCTCAGGATTTACTTATATTTTCATACAAGTTAACCTTGATTTATGATTTTGTATTAATAACATGCTTAGAATAGATTTCCCAGATTAGTGAAAGGTTCACTTTACACTAGAAGTATTATATTATTGACCATCAGGTGTCATTCTTTGACAAGATAACTGCAGACATGAATAAATAATTAGAATACAGAACTTACTCTATCTTCATCAAGAATAGGACAGTCATATTCTTCATCATAGCCTTCATACAAATTGCCTAGAACAACAAAAATGATCAAATTATCAGAACAGTTTGCATGTCACTCCTCCCAAATTCTGGAACAGAACTCTTATTTAACACCACACTTACCAAAACATTAGCACCATATAGAATATTGTATGACATCTAGTAATGGCCTGTTTTTCACACATTTTTGGATTGGCACCTTTTACTTGAATGGGCTACCCTCCACTCCAAAAACACCAAAATATGTCCTGTACTTTTTTTTTTTTTTAAAGAGACTTTGGTGCATTTTTTGAACTGTACTTTTTTGTGCATTTCGTCGAGCGATAAAACTGCCCACTTTCTTAGGGAGTTTGGGGTGCCATTAGGATTTAATGGCACCCAAACTTGCATTGCTTGTTTTAGGAGTGTTTCAGAAATGTGAATTTCCAATGCACTCAGGTGTGAATAGGGCCTTATTTTATTACAAATAGCAAAAAAAAAATAAATAAATAAATAAAATGGGCTCAACATGTGTCCACAGATATTACAATATCTGGACTAGTGGTAGTAGCTCACGTTATTCATGATTGCAATATCTCTGATTTTTAGTCAAGCCCCTTTTAGGTGTATGATTTTAAGCCATCTATAATAAGAAATAATTTTTTTATAAAATCATGTTTGTAGAATGTATCACTGTAGCAGCAGAAAAGTCCCTGTCTCAATTCCTTCTATTCTTATTGCAAGGACGGATGGACGGACAAGGAAGTTGTGGAAAGAGATGGCCAGCAGATAAGCAGAACTCTCAGCATGAAAGGAGATTTATCAAGTAAACTTATATTACAATGCTGATGTTATGAAAAAAATGAAAAAAAAAAAAAAAAAAAAAAAAAAAGGAGCATGTTGTGACTATTGATCTTCTCATCTGCCAAGGCAGTAGAGATGTTTCCACCTTCTGGTACAATAATTTTTATGGAGAAATGTTTACAAAGCAAAAAAACATGCAGTTCCATGCAGGGGATTAAGACTCAAAAAAATAATTAATTACAAGCAAGTCGTGGTATTAAAAAATTCAGTTCAACAGAGCAGCCAGTACTGGAGAAGGCAACATGTTTCTGGGTACGCGTAGACCCAGGGTGTGGTAGCTTGGAAGGGTGGAGAAGAAAAAAAAAAAAAGGGGGGGGGGGGGGGGGGGAGGGCAATAAGGCTGGAGGGAGGAAAATAGCAGCAGGAGAGCAAGGGGGGAACAGAGAGGGAAAGGAGCAGAGGTAGAGGAAAAGGTAGAGGGTGTCTGCGGGTCAGGCAGCATCCCTTGGTGGCCCGGGAATACCCAAGCTAGTCAGGGGCAGGGTGGGAAGAGCATAGGACCACCAGGGCCTCCACACTTTGAGGAACTTGGGGTGGGAGTCTTGGAGTATACTTGTAATTTTCTCATGAATCATAAGAGTGGTCAAGATGCTCTTCACCTCTGCAAACTACACTGAGGGCTTCTTCCAGACCCTAGGAATGGTGTGTTTCGCAGCTATAAAAAGGTACGTTGTCTGTTTCTGCTGACAGGAGACGAGACCCGGAAGCAGGCAGTGGAGAAGTGCATGTTGGGGGTTCTTGCAGAAGGGTACATGAAAGGAGGGTCAAGAGGAGTCTGTAGACCTGTGACCAAAAGCCCACCAAACAGGGTCAGGACCACCATATATGGATCTTGTCTCCACATTGGCCACAGTGCCTGAAGCATCTGTGACTACATGACAGCTTCAAGTGGGCTATGCGGGCTGGGACTCAGTACCAGTGGAGGAGGACTTTATAGGCATACTGCATGGTAACAGTGTTGAAAGAACATTTGGCTACAGCAGACCAGGCCCTGCTCCAATCCTCCAGGTCTATGGGGGCAGATACATCTTTTTCCCATTTGGAAATGTACAGGTGGGAGCGGGGTGAACTTCCTGTGAAATTGCGAGATTTCCTCTGCTAATGCTGAGCTAAGAGGGTGGCACGGGCTACCCTAGTGCACTTATGATAACGGCCATGAGCTTGTTCTGAAGAAAACTTAGAAAAAATGCAGGGACTCAGACTCATAGCGTTCGGAAGAAGCACAGGATCTTAGGGAGCATGGTCATCTTGATAGCATTGTTATGCCCAAGTCATGATAATGAAGAAAAGTGCCAGGAGGACAGGAGAGAGGATATGGAGTGGAGAAGAGGATAATAGTTGGTCGCAAAAAGAGAGGGATAGGACAGGGTCAGGTGAACTCCCAAATACTCCAGGGACAAGGTCTGTATGGGAAGGATGCCTGGAGATGGGAAGCCAGAGCATCCGGGAGAGAAATATTTAGGGCTGTTTTGTGGGGATTGATCTGAAGGCCAAAAAAGGACGCAAAGTAGGCCAGCAGAGAGTGCAAGTTGGGCAGCGCTGTGATAGGATTAGAGAGAGTCAGGAGGGCTTCATCCGCAAACAGGTTTACTTTCTAGGATATGCCGGCATAAGAAATCCCCGTGATTTTGGTGTTAGCACGAAGGGCCGCTGCCAGGAGTTCCAGGACCAAAATGAAAAAGGCCGGGGAAAAAGGGGGCACCCCTGTTGTGTTCCTCGGAAGATGGGGGAAGAGGGCGGATGTTTCCACCTTCAAGTGAAGAAAATTAAACTGGAATACTTATTTACAGTAAAAGCTACAGTATCTCACAGAAGTGAGTACACCCCTCACATTTTTGTAAATATTTTATTATATCTTTTCATGTAACAACACTGAGAAAATTACACTTTGCTACAATGTAAAGTAGTGAGTGTACAGCTTGCATAACAGTGTAAATTTGCTGTCCCCTCAAAATAACTCAACACATAGTCATTAATGTCTAAACCGCTGGCATCAAAAATGAGTATACCCCTAAGTGAAAATGTCCAAATTGGCCCAATTAGCCATTTTCCCTTCCCAATGTCATGTGACTCGTTAGTGTTTCAAGGTCTCAGGTGTGAATGGGGAGCAAGTGTGTTAAATTTGGTGTTATTGCTCTCACTCTCTCATACTGCTCACTGGAAGTTCAACATGGCACCTCATGAACTCTGAGGATCTGGAAAAAAAAAAAAAAAAAAAAAAAAGAATTGTTGCTCTACATAAAGATGGCCTAGGCTATAAGAATTTTGCCAAGACCCTGAAACTGAGCTGCAGCACGGTGGCCAAGACCATACAGTGCTTTAACAGGACAGGTTCCACTCAAAACAGGCCTTGCCATGGTCGACCAAAGAAATTCAGTGCACGTGCTCAGCATCATTTCCAGAGGTTGTCTTTGGGAAATAGACATATGAGTGCTGCCAGCATTGCTGCAGAAGTTGAGGGGTGGGGGGTCAGCCTGTCAGTGCTCAAACCATACAATGCACACTGCGTTAAATTGGTCTGCATGGCTGTCGTCCCAGAAGGAAGCCTCTTCTAAAGATGATGAACAAGAAAGCCCACAAACAGTTTTCTGAAGACAAACAGACTAAGGACATGGACTACTGGAACCATGTCCTGTGGTCTGATGAGACCAAGACAAATTTTTTTGGTTCAGATGGTGTCAAGTGTGTGTGGAGGCAACCAGGTGAGGAGTACAAAGACAAGTGTGTCTTGTCTACAGTCAAGCATGGTGGTGGGAGTGTCATGGTCTGGGGCTGCATGAGTGCTGCCGGAACTGGGGAGCTACGGTTCATTGAGGGAACCATGAATGCCAACATGTACTGTGAAATACTGAAGTATAGCATGATCCACTGCCTTGCTAAAGAAGCTGACGATAAAGGTGATGGACTGGCCAAGCATGTCTGCAGACTTAAACCCTATTGAGCATCTGTGGGGCATCCTCAAATGGAAGGTGAAGAAACGCAAGGTCTCAAACATCCACCAGCTCCTTGATGTCATCATTGAGGAGTGGAAGAGGACTCCAGTGGCAACCTGTAAAGCTCTGGTGAACTCCATGCCCAACAGGGTTAAGGTAGTGCTGGAAAATAATGGTGGCCATAAAGAATATTGACACTTTGGGACATTTTCACTTAGGGGTGTACTCAATTTTGTTGCCAGCAGTTTAGACATTAATGGTTGTGTGTTGAGTTATATTGAGGGCACAGCAAATTTACACTGTTATACAAGCTGTACACTCACTACTTTACATTGTAGCAAAGTGTCATTTCTTCAGTGTTGTCACATTAAAAGATATACTAAAATATATACAAACATGTGAGGGGTGTACTCACTTCTGTGAGATACTGTATGAAAATGTAGCATAGACTTCTGCATCAACTAAGTCTTGTCAACACTGCAGATCATTAAAAAATAGGCTGGAAGGGTTTCTAAACTATAACCACTAATATTTATAAGAAATAACACTGTAATGCAGCCTCTGCTGAACTTTTGTAACACCGAGGAAACATTAAAATTACTTAAGTACGAGGAACCCCCCTTTCCCCCCGCCAATAATTATATCCATTAGCTCATGGTCCCTTAGCATGATCAGTAATTTGAAATATAAGAATAGATTAAAAAAAAATAAGGAACATGGCATGTGGCAGAACGTCAGCCAAAACAGGATAAAAATGAACAGCCCATTAAGAGATTAAATAAAACCAACTTTCTAGGAATGTTCAGGTCCACACCAGGGATTTCCCACATAGTAGTTTATTTCTGCCACTTGATGTTCTCGGTCTAATGGCAAAGCATCATTCACTCCACTTCATCTGAGCCCATGTCATCCTGGATGTGCCCCAGCCTGTTACTAGGTGGTGAAAGGAGAAGCGGTACAGTGGTCAGTGAAAATGTGCTGGCAGATACTAGTGGTCAGTGGTGAGAATGCTCTTTAAAATTCGAGGACAATGTAGTGCCCCCTTACATTTGTGGTTGCTGGCCCCATTAGAATGGCGGTCACTGGGAGAAGGGCCCCATAATATTGGTAGTCATTGGAAAGAATGTCCCCTTTACAGATAGTTAAAAAGATCATTGTTGTCAGAGATTGTTTATCTGAGAGGTGCACATTACTCTTTGCTCAAGGAAACCATTGCAACCTCTGGAAAAAGGTTTAGAGGATGCAGGTTTTTAATTTAAATAATTCTGACTTTTGGTTGAACTGGTATACACCAGTATTTAACAGTCAGCTCTACCAGATGCCCATCCCCTGCATACAAAATACAGGTGTACCTGTACCCATCCTCTCGCATACACCGGCATCTAACATCACACAGCTCTACACTGCCCATCCCCTGCATACACTAGCATCATGCAGCTCTACCTGTATGCATCTCCCTGCATACACCAGCATAACATACAGTTCTACCCATAGTATAAAACAAAGGGGAGAAACAAAAAGGGGAAAGCAGAGGAAAGACAGGGAGTCCACTAGAAATCAAAGAAAAAATGAGGTACCTCCAGAGGAGTCTGGAAGGGTGCTACCTAAGGCATATGAAGAAAAAAAAAAAAAGAAAAAAAGGCTACACACCTAAAAGGCTAACCTCAAAAACATTTATTTATGAAACATATACAGTAAATTAGGCATTGCATCAGGAACCTGGCAATCACTCCCAATCATGAGAAACCCCCCCACCCCTGGTATAGGGAAACCCTCCCACACTAGACACACACCGATGGTACCAAAAAGTGTCCCTTGTATGTACACAGCACCCGCACCTCCCCAAAAGGGACCCAACCCCCCTCCCCCAACACCACAACCACCCCTCAGCAATCCACCCAACCAACCCAAAACAAAATCAAAACCCCTGGGAATACCTCCCAAGGTCCCCCAATACTCCTCCCACAATGACCCTCCCAAACCCACCAGCCTGACCACCCACCTTATCCTGAAAGGGTAAGAAGGGAGCTGAGGTATAACACCAGCCCACTAATGCCCCCTACCCCCCTAGATCAAACATCCCATCCACCAACACACCAAATACAAGACAATATGATATTCCTATAAATAATAATGGACTTCAGTACAATTCAACCTCAATGCATAAACAATGTATAAAACCAGTTAAGACCTGAAAGAACATATCAAATGTAAAGGGCTATAGCCTGTAAAGTCCAACTGAACAGACAGGTCATCAGTGCATTAGGAAATGTAAATCTGGTATGGCCAGTCCACAGAAAAGGGGTATGTCTATAGTGGTGTCCAACAGAGTATATCCACCAGTCCATGAATGTGCACTGCGGCAGTTGTTCCACAGCCATCCTCCAATAGTAGAGACAGGCTGATGACCAGGCATGAATGGGCCGCAGCACTCAGCAGAAATAATCCGCCAAGAAGAAATGCAATCAGCATGTAAAACATAAGAACATGGGTGGTGATACAGCCAGCGGGAATAAATCAAAGATGTGATCAGAGTATCTGCCTCAGCAACTTCGATGTGTGTAACCAGTCCAGCCTGTGCAAGCTTGCACAACTGATACGACATACATAGCCGCACCAGGTCGCCAGTACTCACGGTGTGGTAGGACCCCCAAGGTCCTGTACATCAAACCGCAGCTTCTAGTCCCAATGTTGTGGCCATGTCCTGTGGAGGCTCCGTTCATAGTCCAATGGTAACTGCCAGCTGTACATCATGGACAAGATACCATATCCATGTTGGTAGGATCCTGGAAAGACCCCATGTGGTGTGGAGGTGGTGTGCGGGGAATTGAGGGAGGGGCCGTGTGACCACGCTAACGGGTTTCTCCCCGCCTACTTCCAGGACTTCTTCAGAGCCACTGGTTAGACAGATTGTCAGTCATTACTTATATATCATCAGGGGTATCCACCCCCAAATCAATTAAAGAGATCTCTCCTTCCATCTAGCACCTGTCATCCACATATATAGGGAAGGAGGGACAAAAAAAAAAAAAAAAGGATCGGGGAGGAGGAGGAAAGGGAAGCATATAATTCACACAACAATACCATGAAATATACCATAAATAAGAAAGAAAAAAAGGTGAAAAAAGGGGGGGGCTGCCTACACCATCCACACCAATTCAACCCAGTAGCTATATACATGCAATATCATCTCAGACAGACTAGCCACAATGACCATAAGACCTCCCATTTTAATTCTAAAAAAAAAACAGTTCTACCCATACCCATCTCCCTTCATACTACAGTATCCACCATCATGCTTCTTACCTTTGCCAATCTCCCTGCATACACCAGTATCTAACATCATACAAATTATCTGTACCCATCTCCCTGCATACACTAAGATTTATTTAATACAGGTACTAAATATAGCGTCATCAGCGCTTTACATATATTCACATCAGTCCCTAACCCTGAAGGGGCGTACAATGTAAGGTTCTTAACGTACAGTCATACATACACATATTAGGGCCAATTTAGATGGGAGACAATTAACCTACCAGCATGTCTTTGGAGTGTGTGAGGAAACCGGACTACCCGGAGGAAACCCACATAAAACACATGGAGAACATGCAAACTCCAGGCAGGTGGTACTGTGATTGGGATTTGAACCGATGACCCTAATACTGCCAAGCAGAAGTGCTAACCCTTTAGCCATTGTACTGCCCCGATCATGCAGCTATACCGGTACCCATCTCCCTGCCTGCATACACAAGAATCTAACACAATATACAGCTCTACTTAAGCCCATCTTCCTGTGTATGCAGACATCTGGAACACATTTTTTTCACAAATGCAATGTATTTCATCTGTTCTATTATATCAAGTTTGGTGTTACACAAATGGATCAATTCTCCATCATCCATGACAGACTGGGTGATAGTTATGCATGAGACTAAGCTATTTTAGTTAGTTATATAATGCTTGTATACAGTAGACAGGGCAAAAATACAGGTGTATTTTTTATGTAGCTGTTTAGTTGATTCACAAAAGAAAATTAACAAAATGGATAAGACATGCAAGTTCCTACCTTCTTTTGCGAGATCTCCCACATTTACGTATGTCAGGCCACATTTCTCTGCAAGTTCTTTGCCAAGAGTTGTCTTCCCAACACCAGGGGTCCCTGCATATGATCAGCAATGCAAATGTCACACAAATTTATTTATTTCAGGTACTTTTATAGCGCCGTCAATTTACACAGCGCTTTACATATATATTGTACATTCACATCATTCCCCAACCCTCAAGGGGCGTACAATCTACCTACAGCAGGTCTTTGGAGTGTGGGAGGAAACCGGAGTACCTGGAGGAAACCCACGCAGGCACAGGGAGAACATGCAAACTCCAGGCAGGTGGTGCCGTGGTTGGGATTCGAACCAACGACCCTAGTACTGCCAGGCGGAAGTGCTAATCATTTAGCCACTGTGCTGCCCAAATACATGCAGGCTGACAATGACGGGACAGCAAATCATATCAACGAAAATGTATTTCAGACCAGTATATGTTTCCTGTTGGTATTCTCTTGTGGAGGTACATGATAAATGAATCACCTGGTAATAATGTATGTTAGCAGTATGTCAGGTGTATAATGGATTATGAACTGGGGTTATTACCTAACATTCATTAGAATGCTGTGGTCAGTAGAACAGCACTTCACAAACAAAGGATTTCCCAGCACAATTACCAGCCAGCATGCAAAACAACTAAAGTGGCTCTAACAGTTTGTGTTAAATACAAAGGGTTTTGTTTGTACACATTTGCAAATATATGCATAAACTGTAGTGCCCAGGTCAAGGGACCTCTGTATATACTACTGTCCTAACTCTAAATTTCCAGAGCCTCCATAGTGGGAACACATAAGAATGGATAGATTGAGGACAGGTATGCCTGGAAGAAGCTCACCCCTCCAGAACCTTTGTTTGTGATTGCATTGCCCTTCCACATACACCTAGGTTGGAGTGTTTGCCAATTTTTTTTTACAGTTGCGTCAGTTAAAGTCTGATTGTCCATTTGTGGGATGTCCATTTGTCACCTGCAAGTCAAATACTGGGATGCAACAAGCTATCAATAGATGTCACACTTATGTATATCAGTTATTTGCCATCATGGCATTAGGGTTCTGCGTCATATATGTGCTACAGTCATGGCCAAAAATATTGGCACCCCTGCATATCTGTCAGATAATGCACCACTACACCCAGAAAATTATAATTACAAATGTTTAGGCATTTTCATGTTTCTTTTGTTTGCATTGGCATAAACACACAAAAAGTGGAGAAACTTTAAAAGCCAAACCTGACACATTCCATGGAAATCCCCACAAATGGACTGGACAACATTATTGGTACCCTCAATTTAATATTTCATAGCACACCCCTTGGAAAAAAAAAACAACTGAAATCAAATCACATCTTGCAGCCATCAATGAGTTTCTTACACCTCTCTGGAATTTTTGACCACTCTTCTTTCACCAGCCGCTCTAGGTCTCGAAGATTGGAAGTTCCTTTTCCCATCTGCTGTTTTGAGATCTCTCCACAGGTGCTCTAGGGGATTGAGATCTGGACTCATTACTGGCCAGTTCAGAACTCTCCAGCACTTGGTCTGAAACCATTCCTGGGTGCTTTGGCTCATTGTCCTGCTGTAAGACCCATGACCTCAGACGAGACTCAACTTTCTGACACTTGGCCCTACATTGCACCGCAGAATTCCTTGGTAGTCTTCAGATTTCATAATAACATGCACACGGTCAAGACATCCAGTGCCTTAAGCAGCACAGCAACCCCAAAAACATCAGTGACCCTCCACTATGTGTGACTGTAGGGACCGTATTCTTTTCCTTAAAGGCCTCATTTCTTCGTCTGAAATCAGTAAAATGATGGACTTTACCAAAAAGCTGTAATTTTGTTTCATCTGTCCCGGCATATTCTCCCAAAAGAATTTTGGCTTCCTCAGGTAAGTTTTGGCAAACTCCAATCTGGCTTTTTTATGTTTCTCTTTCATCAGTGGGGTCCTCCTGGGTCTCCTACCATAGCATCCCTTTTCATTCAGATGGCGATGTATACTGTGAGCTGACACACTTGTACTCTGTGCCTGATACAGGGGAGTTTAATTACAAATTACAGGAGCATCACAAACTTGGAATGCAATTATTTCTTACAATTTTGAGAAGGTGCCAATAATTGTGTCCAGTCCATTTTAGGGGTTTTGTGTGGAATGTGTCAGATTTGGCTTTAATTTTGTGTCATACCAATGTAAACAAAAGACTTAAACATGAGAATGCCTAAACATTTGTAATTGCAGCAATTTTCTGGGCAAAGTGGTGCATTATGTGACAGAAATGCGGGGGACTAATATTTTTGGCCATGACTGTAGATACTAGCAAAATGCTGCAGTCACCTGTAGTCAGGGTTTGAGGTACAGGGGGTGTCAGCAGTCATCTGTAGTCAGGGTGATGGGGTAGAAGGGATGTCACTCACAAGTCAGCAGAATGTTGGGGTACAGGGGTGTCACTCAGCAGGATGGTAGGGTACAAGGATTGTCACCAGTTAGCAGGATGTTGGGGTGCAGGGGATGTCACTCAGCAGGATGTTGGGGCACAGGAGGTGTCACTCACCAGTCAGCAGCAGGATGTTGGGGTACAAGGGGTGTCACTCAGCAGGATGTTGGGGCACAGGAGGTGTCACTCAGCAGGATGTAGGGTTAGAGAGGGTGTCAGCACAGTCACCTTTAATTAGGGTGTTGGGGTACAGGGGGTGTCACTCAGCAGGATGTTGGAGCACAGGGGGGTGTCAGCACAGTCACCCAATGGTCAAGGTGTTGGGGGGTACAGGGTGTAACTCACCAGTCAGCAGGATGTTAGGGTACAGGCGATGTCATTCACCAGTCAGCTGGGTTACAGGGGGGGTGTCACTCAGCAGGATGCTGAAGCACAGTGGGTGTCAGCACAGTCACCTGTAGTCAGGGTGTCATTCAGCAGGATGTTGGGGTACAGGGAGTGTCAGTCAGCAGTATGTTGGTGTACAGAAGGTGTCAGTCAGCAGGATGTTGGGGTACAAGGGGGTGTCACTCACCAGGATGTTGGGTACGGGGAATGTCACTATGAAGGATGTTGGGGTACAGAGAGTGTCACTCACCAGTCAGCAGGATGTTGGGTTCGGGGGAAGTCACTAAGCAGGATGTTGGTGTACAGGGGGTGTCACTCACCAGTCAGCAGGATGTTAGGGTACAGGCGATGTCATTCACCAGTCAGCTGGGTTACAGGGGGTGTCACTCAGCAGGATGCTGAAGCACAGGGGGTGTCAGGACAGTCACCTGTAGTCAGGGTGTCATTCAGCAGGATGTTGGGGTACAGGGAGTGTCAGTCAGCAGGATGCTAGGGTACAATGGGGTGTCACTCACCAGGATGTTGGGTACGGGGAATGTCACTCACAAAAGGATGGGGTACAGGGAGTGTCACTCACCAGTCAGCAGGATGTTGGGGTACAGGGGTGTCACTCAGTCAGCAGGATTTTGGGTACGGGGAAGTCACTAACGAAGGATGTTGGGGTACAGGGGGGTCATGTCAGTCAGCAGGATGTTGGGGTACAGAAGGTGTCATTCAGCAGGATGTTGGGGTACAGGGGGTGTCACTCACCAGGATTTTGGGCACGGGGAATGTCACTAGGACAGGATGTTGGGGTCAGGGGTGTCAGTCAGCAGGATGTTGGGGTACAGAAGGTGTCAGTCAGCAGGATGTTGGGGTACAAGGGGGTGTCACTCACCAGGATGTTGGGTACGGGGAATGTCACTAGGAAAGGATGTTGGGGTACAGGGAGTGTCACTCACCAGTCAGCAGGATGTTGGGGTACAAGGGGGTGTCACTCACCAGGATGTTGGGTACAAGGGAGTGTCACTCACCAGTCAGCAGGATGTTGGGTTCGGGTCAAGTCACTAAGCAGGATGTTGGGGTACAGGGGGTGTCACTCACCAGTCAGCATGTTGGGTGCAAGGGGGTGTCAGTCAGCAAGATGTTGGGTACAGGGAGTGTCACCAGTCAGCAGGATGTTGGGTTCGGGTGAAGTCACTAAGCAGAATGTTGGTGTACAGGGGGTGTGTCAGTCAGCAGAATGTCGTGGTACAAAGGGTGTCACTCACCAGTCAGCAGGATGTTGGGGCTCCTCATGGTCACTCAACTCTGCGATCACCCAGGACACGTGTTCCCCTTCGTACACCTCCACAATCACGAGGAGGGGGAGGAGCAAAGACACGACATCACTTTCCATGACCAATCGTATGACACCCTGAGGCTCTAAACTGTAGGCTTCCAGCGAAGAGAACGATTAAATATTTCCCTGCAATGACATTACATTACATACATTACAATAGGCAATAGAGATAGTATTCAATAAACGATTTCCCATTCAATTGCTTAATGTATTTTTCCAGCTTTGCCCAACTCAAAGATGGCTGCACCCTCCTCCACAGTGGCGACTTTTAATTTGCCGGGAGCGTCACATGAGGGCCGGTGACGAGTTTGTTTGGCGACCGGCAAACATAGAACAGAACCGTGTATAGAATTGTTAGCGGAGCGGCGGTGTACCGCTACAAAACGGTGAGTTCCCCGACATGTTCCACGCCCTGGGTGCTCCTAGCCGGCAGGCCCCGCACTCAGTGTGCTATGAGGGCAATGATCAGCCTCACTCTGCTCTCCTGTAGGAATCCCCGGTGGTGTGGAACGACAAATCCCAGCGTATTAGTCAAAATGCTTAAAGTCTGTGTGTATCAGGATGAGGGGAAGGTGATCGCCCCCCACAGGGGATTTATAGCTTCATGTGTCCTGCAGGAGAGACTTACCTTCACTACCTGGTCTGGAAAGGCAACAGGAAGTGAAAAGAAACCTCTGCAGTGTGAGAGTAGCTTTTCTCAGACAGTTGTCACCAGAACACGTGTCCCCTTTGGCTGATTTCCCCTCACGTCCTGTTCTGGTGACAACATTTAGGATTTCCATCACATTCTGCCTGGATGACAGCAGTCAGTGCTATCAGCGCATTCATTGCTTTCATTTCTTGCCTGGAATTCCTCTTTGAAGTGCTTCTAGAGGTAAGACTTTTGTTTACCCTGATGAAGTCCCCTGCATTCGGTAAAAAATGTGCCAGTATTGGTATCACCCTTCCCATGTCTCTTCTGCATTCATATTCCTTCCTCTTCACCATTTTGTTTATACAAGGTTCGACTTTTAGGCTAGGGTCCAGGGGCGGACTGACAACTCATGGGGCCCCTGGGCAATAGGGGATCATGGAGCCCCTGTGTCCAAATTATGTTTTTTTACACATAGGAGAGGAATGTTACAATTGGCCCAGACTAGAAGTAGTTAACTCCTTATTAACCCTTAGTTTACACTAATCAGCAGGGGCGGACTGACAACTCATGGGGCCCCCGGGCAATAGGGGATCATGGGGCCCCTGTGTCCTTGCCCACACTCAAAAAAGCCTATGAAAAAGGTACCAGGGGCATCTCCTGGGGCCCCCTACTGACCCCGGGCCTTCGGGCAGTCCCCGAGTTTCCAAATGGTCAGTCTGCCCCTGCTAGGGTCACATCTGTGCGGGTGGTGCCGCTGTGGATCCACACAAAAATCCGTGCAGCCGCTCCACCCGCACAGAGAAATGCAGACCTACATGCAGGTGACATTAATTCTAATGGCACGCCGCTCTCACTGGAAAAGACAACCGTACTGGGAACCGAGGTCCCTGTGCGGGCTGCGTTTTCAGAAGAAACGCAAGGAATTCTTCCCTGCGTGTCCCGGGGCACGGGAGTCCACTCAAATGAATGGGCTCTCATGCCCACACAAAACGTGGCCCGCAGGAACGCACATCTGTGAACCGGGGGTAAATAGTCCATCTGGTGCCAACATGCACTGTGCACACATTCCTGGGTACCATTCTGCGGAGATCAGACGGACAGCTCACAGGAATCTCTGGACAGGCACCATTCAGAGAATGCTTTGTATTTTCTGAATGAATGCAAAGCGGTCTCTGATTGGACGAGGTGGGGCTGTGATGTCACACTTCACTTTTCAAGCTGGATCAATGTAACAATGTATAAAATAGCCATACCTGGAATTCTTTAACCGCTTGCCTTCCGGGCACTCTTACCCCCTTTGTGCCCAGGCCAATTTTCAGCTTTCAGCGCAGTTGCATATTGCGCGGTCATGCAACACTGTACTCATATGAAATGTTTATTATTTTTTTTCACGCACATAGAGCTTTCTTTTGGTGGCATTTAATCTCCACTGGGTTTTTTAATTTTTTTTGCACTATAAACAAAAAAAGCAAAAAGTGTGAAAAATTTTTTTATTTGTTTCTATTAGAAAATGTTGCAAACAGGTCATTTTTTCTCCTTCATTGATGTGCGTTGATAAGGCTGAATGAATAGGCTGCACTGATGGGCACGGATAGGCTGCACTGATGATGCTGCACTGCTGGGCATCACTGATGGGCGGCACTGCTGGGCACGGATGGGCTCCACTGATGATGCTCCACTGATGGGCTGCACTGCTGGGCACGGATAGGCTGCACAGATGGGCACTGATGATGCTCCACTGATGATGCTGCACTGATGGGCTGCACTGCTGGGCATGGATAGGCTGCACGGATGGGCACTGATGATGCTCCACTGATGATGGAACATGGCAAACTGCATCGGAACTGCGTGTGGTGTGAACTGTAAGCAAAAACCTATCCGGAATGCATTTTTTGTAGTGTGAACTGGCCCTTAAAGTGTTACTAAACCTACAACAGTAAAATCAGTCTGTATATGCAGTAAACCATGCTTGTTATACTCACTGCGGAACCTAAGGGGTTAATCCTCTGCATTGTGTAAAAAGGCTGTTTGATCCTGACTTCTCTGCTCCTCCTCTTGTTCAAATGTCTTGATAAGACAGACTGAAACTTAGTCATTCTGCACATGCTCAGTTTAGTGTGTTTTGCTAGAGAGGTGTTTTGTTTTCTTGGGAGAGTGCATGTGATCAGCACAGGGCCAATCAGCACTTTCCAAACAGAGATCAGGGGTGTTGAATCCTCCTGGAGCAGAAAGAAAACTCCTCCTACAAGCTTTAACCAATGCACTGCTGAACACTGATAGAAGTCACAAGACTGCTCTAACTGCTGATGAGAAAAGGTATTTGGCAGTTTATTCACTAAAATAATTGCATTTCCATGTTCTATGTACTGTTGGAGACCAGATATAGTGAATGCAGGGTCCTGGGTTTAGTAACACCTTGACCCTGAAAAGCTCACATCACTGTGTGAAAACCATTTATATTACACACAGTTGCAGTGTGGCCCTATTCACTTGAATGATAGCAGTACTGCCTGTATATTTTTGGCTGCTAAAAAAAAAGTATCACAGCCACAGGATGTGTAATACCTAGTCCAAGTGCTTTTGTTGCCGAAAGTGGGTAGTACAATCACAGCTCAACCACTATTTTTACACCCCCCCCCCCCCCAGGGCTCTCCTGTATTATGTGGCTTCAGTGCCTTTTTCCCACCAAGTGGTGTGACGGCTGCCTTGAAAGGTTATTACTATTAAACATGAATCTGATTTCCACACTCCCCTGTATTTCCAGGGCTGATGACATTATGGACATTATACACAACAATAATTCAGTCTGTATTACTAAATGGTTTGCTTTTATTCCCAGGTTAGCAGCTACACATAAACACGATTGTTATTTTTTTAATTAGATTTATATTGAAGTATTTTTTTTTTGTGTTTGGTACAGAAAAGCCTGTGACTGGTATACATGATGCAGTGCTGAGCTGATGGGAAGTTTACAATTTTATAATGTCAAAGACATCTTGCAGAAGAAAAGTAACTTCTGCTAAGGTAAGGTGGATGAAATAAGTGTTGATTTATTTGATATAGTTTGCCTTTAAAATGTATATATTTTAACAAAGGCATTAGTATTAATTAAAGGAGAGGTACATTTGCATACGTGTGAAAGTGGTCTGCATAATGTAAGTAACCTTGTCATTTTGTGTTAAAGCCATTTTGTATTTTTATCATATAAATACACTCCGGGGGCATCAAAGCAAAAGGTTTGCAAAGTCTTAAAATGTATATTATATAGTTAGAGTCCAACCTCTGTAGCTGTAGGATAAAGGTGCCAGATGGATATCAGGGATGGATGGATGGGAGCAATAACACTGAGGCAGCTCTTCTTAGAGTGGAAGCAAGGCTTTAATGCAGAAAACATAAAAATGAGAGGAAGGGATCGGAGTGCACAGCTGACACAGAGGGATCATTGTACTATACAATTATGTCAACCATGAGCCTATACCAGAATATGGAATGCAGCCTCTCTACAGTATACTGAACTGGACACCTGCAAGTGGTTGTTCTGTCATATTCCTTATGTCAGTTGCAGCAAGGGTTAGATTGTCTTGTGAGAAATATATAGGGCTGCCATTGCTAACCTCCTTTTTGTAAATACAAGCCGCTTG